CGAGTAGCTGTTCCCTCAGTGGTCCGCTGTTGTTAATTAGTTTCATGTAAACGGCTCTTTTAATAACTGCGGTTTAGTTACGAAACCTCGGTAAGCAGTAACCGTAGTAAACCTCTCATGAAAACACGGCATTAATTAGTCATATGTTTGCTCACCATTTCATCTACTCTACTGACTGTATTACATGAGTACTTTCCACTATTCATGAATATACAAAGCTTTACATTTAAGGAGAGTTTGGCTCGACATCACCGCGAGCAAATTGACGACAACCTGAGTTCGGCATTGGAGTAAAGACAAATTTTGTAATTTTCCAATAGTTTCTGAGCAACATTGCAGTACTTGCTTTCTGAGAAAACCTCAAACCGTCCATTGTATGCAGCCTACTTTAGTTAATTAGTTTCATGTAAACGGCTCTTTTAATAACTGCAGTTTAGTTACGAAACCTCGGTAAGCAGTAACCGTAGTAAACCTCTCTCATGAAAACACAGCATTAATTAGTCATATGTTTGCTCACCATTTCATCTACTCTACTGACTGTATTACATTAGTACTTGTCATATACAGCTCATTAAGAAGGTAATTATTAGGATACAGATGAAGTAGCTAAAACATAACGATAAGAATATGCAATAAACTGCTAACCTGCTGGTACAAATGACATTTAGTTTGCTAAACTTGATCACCTATTGAATGAAGGTCACAAATTAAAGTTAATACACCCCGGCAAGCTGAGACAAGAAGATCAAAGTCTTTTATTTACAAGTACACTGTAATTAAGTGGTGTTATGTATGTAAACTATGTACCGCCAAGTAAGGTCAGGTTAAATGTACTTGGTTCATTATGTCAGCAAACTATTTTGTTTAGTTAATCGGAAACACAGAATCAAATTTCTATTGATCTTTTTATTGTTCTTTTCCCCCCTAAAGTAGCAAGCACCTATCCCAGGAAAAGCAAGAAGCCAACAGGAAGCCTGTAACTGTGCCATCATTTGCTGCAACTTTCACAAAGTCTAAGCAAACTCAGCCATCCTTGTCAGCCATTGGTAATTTGGTGACTTCCCATTCATCTACACCTCATCTCAGTAGTTCATCTTCATCAGCCATTGGTAACTCATCATCAACCTCTAAGTCTTCCTCTCGTGGAAGACGTGCTGCATCAGCATCGTCACTCACTGATAAGACTGCAGCAACAAATCAATCCACTTCCCAGACCACCTGTGCACCATCACGAAGTTGGAGAAGAAGTGACCCGCCTGAGCCTAGCACAGGCTTAAGGCGGTCACAAAGACTTAAAGAGACAACGGGATCCTGTGCTAGCAATAGGTATGTGTATGATAGTTTTTTTGTACATTGTAACTATTCATCCATCTTCTCAGGCTGGAGTATGTTGTCTTGTTGCCCTTTTTTTGTAACTTTTTTCCCACTGCAATAAAATTGTGTATACCTCTTATTATTTGAGCTTGAGCTCCATGCTGTAAGTTATGGACTGAGCTCATTCCCTTTCAATTTATGGCCCAAGCACAATGCACGTGGGACATAAATTGAAGGCAAAAAAAACAGGATCCTAATTTACAGTTTGGACAGATTAGACAAAGTTAGTAAGATATTTATTTCTATCTTTGCCATATTATATCTTTGTTATTCTGGATACATATACTTCATCTGCTGGTAAATTATGGTTATAACAGATACATGTATTGTTGTTTTTAGTCGGCGTGGACCGCAGGGAAAGAAGCAGTCGTGGACACGCCGACAATCACCCAGTATGTCTGCAGACAAGTAGGTGGTGTAATGAATACTTAACACTAACTCTGATATAAGACTATAATTATTATATAGACCATAGAGAACTTATCTATAACTTCTTAGTTGAGAGTGCACGCTTTCACTTCAATTAGCCTGAATAACTCCCCGATTTACTCTGTGTATGGTTAGGATGCAATAAGTTATGGAATTAACATGAGGTATACTTAAAAAGTCTGTAGTCTGCAGACTAACATTTCAACTTTGCTTTTAACAGTGCACCTCAGGACCCTGGTTCTTCAGATGCAGGTATGTACAGGTACAATGTATGTGTCTCATGTAATATTACATGTACAGTAATAGCAGACTTAAAGCTGTCATGGCATAATCCATTAGCCCTGGTAAAAGAAGACACTGCTGTTGTTGTGGTCAGCTTGACATGGCTGTCATTAGTGTGTGAGAAAAGACATTTATTTTTGTACAAAGTAATGTCCGAGCATAGCTAGTGTAAGTTATAACACTTTTTCACATTAGTCAGAATGTGAATGTTTTTGTTTGTGGTATTCGTTTCATTCTTTGGTTTTGATACACACTAGTAATGAAATCCTTGACTCAACATTTCACGATTATCAATAATTATTACGGTATTTCATGCAGGCATCTCCACACTCTGATTTTAAGTGTTTGCTTGTGGTTCGTGCACGGCTTTATCACTTACATGTAACAACTAGTATTGCTTAGTAACAACTTCTCTATTTGTCCACAAGCTGTTAAAAAACTGAGCATAATGTGTGCTTGACTATCCATTAGCTAGCTATAGGAAATTATATGTATTAATTTAAAGTTAAAGTGTAACATTCAATAATGTTTACTGTTAATTAGCGTATCATTTTTTTCAGCTCATGGTAGTGTTGAAGATTCAATTCCTTCAGCTAGCGGTAATTAAAGAGATTTCTTGATTTTATTTTCTGTCAATAATCTACTGTTGCAAATATTAACTTTAACTTTGTTCTCACCACAGAAATGTTAAGTTAGCCTGGTTGTAGGTGATGTTGTGGATCAATGCTTGAAATTTTTCATACCAGTTCATTTATTTTTTCACCTTTTGCCATTGGGGAGTTCTTATTGCATCCAATAAGAAATCAAGAGTTCTTGATATTTTTTACTCCTGTTTCATTTGAGCTTATCCTCCACACCACCCGGCTTCCTTCCTTAGTCCCTAATCCTACACTTTTTTCACTGTATACACTCAAAAAATACTTGTTACATTATGTTGAGGAAAAGGTTGTTGTTATTCATCGTGGTAGATGCAATAATAATGTGTTTTATTGTTTGTATCACGATGTAGTCACTTGAGATGTAGATCGCTACATTGTGAGACAAACGATAATACACATCATTATTGTTACATTATGTTAGCACACAATGGTTGAGATAATTTAATGCATTGTAATATCAACCCGATTCAAGATTTGACTCTTTACTCAAATCTAGATATTCAATTCCCAGTATTTAATACTCAATTCTCACATGTCTATGAATCAAGAATTAAGACTTGGCTGTGAACTTACTTTTGTAAATTATACAAATGTACATGTATCTTGATGGACGTTCTAAGCATAGAAGTATCTGACCAGTATCACAGTAAACAAACTCCCAATGGGAAGATTTTTTTGCTGGGCAAATTACCAGCCTAGATTTGAGTTTTACGTGTTCAAGGTTTAGAATTTACCCCTAGTTACTTTAAACAGCATTGGAAATGATTTAACCACTGATATTTAAGTGTTATTTGCCTTGGTCATGGATGTATGTACTGATATTCCTCCATAATGTGTCTTAACTAACACAAAACTATTATTAAAATCAAAGTGCCTTTTGGAAACCGGGAGGATGGAGGAGGTCAGAGTGTTATGTAGGCATCAGGTTTAAGGTGAAGTGTAATTTGCCCTCAGTAACAACAAAATTTGCACTTTAGGTGAGGCATCAAGAAGTGAAGTGGAAGGCCCTGGCAGCTTTGAAGATATGGAGCTAAAAGATGGAGAGTTATCAAGATTGCAAGGTAAAATGCAGTTAAAATGTTTTCTATTGATACTTAACATTATTCACCAAAGTGGAGGTGGTTACATCAGTAATATTCTCCAAGAATTGCCAAGGCAAAGGTGGTTTCTTGTTTTACTATTAACTGGGCTGGCATGAACATGTCCAGTAATGGTCTCTTGGTGGAGTGTTTCACTCAGATCACTTTTTGAAAAGAAACTCTTACTAGTTCTTAAACTTTAACTCTTGAAGGTTTGAGAAACAGCTACTTTTCATTAAGGGAGAAATTTTTTTTTCAGTGTATAGAGCACTATAGTCTATTAAATGTCTTGTTTCAGAGTTGATCCACAGAAAATACTACAACATTTTTTAATGCAGATTTGAATGTAGATTTTGAAGTAAATCAGTTGTCAATATTGGCTACTTAGTAACCGAGAGTGAGATCTTTATCAGAAAATCTCAGACCGAGACTTTGCCGTATTGACTGGGCGATAGTGAGGTCAATACGGCAAGGTCGAGGTTTGAGATTTTCCCATTAAGACTGAACGTTCGAGGTTGATATGTTGTTTATCATACGGCTTTTTGCTTTGTTTTTGCAAGCCTGTAATTTGCCCCTGGGCATCATGAGAGAATAATGCCCTACAATTAGACAATCAGAGCATGCGTTATGTCGGCTACAACAGTGAGCCATATAATAAATATGGTTACTGACCAAGCATGAGGTCAAGATGGCTAGATATTGGCCAAGTTTTTTTTGTTTGTTTATGGACCGAGACAGAGTTGAAGCCCATAAACTGGCAAAAAAAAGAGCGAGGCCAATATCCAGCCATCTTGACCAAACAAGCTTGGTCAGTAAAGGATCTAATATTATGGCTTTCGTGGGAATTTTTCTTGCGGGACACAATGGGTAGTCCAAAGTGGGCAAGATAGTCTTGTCTTACCCGCTTGGGTAGCCAATCACAGCTCAGGATTTGGTTCATCTTGCCTGCTCATGGAGTTGGCCATATGATAAGAAGAAATTTATTTGTTGGTAAACTTAAGCATGGAGGCACCACTGTAAATAAATTTACTTGATGTACACCTAAAGGTGTCAGACCATCAAGGTAACTCCATGGATCATCTTTTGAATCACTGCTCCCCAGCATATACTGCAGATGAATAATCCAACTACTAGATATCCTGGGCATTAGAGAATTTCTGAGTTATGAAATGGAGGCAAAATAATGATCTATCAAACTAATAGAATTGTTAGCCATTTTGCTGCTGGATAATATAGCAAACGATTCTCAGTGACTAATAAATTCTAAAAGGGACATTGATCCTTCTAGGAAACAAGATATAGTAAGAGGTGTTAATTTATCTCGACCGTTGCTTTCCTCAAGGTTGCACATTACATTTATACATAAACAAAGATATGTGTGTTAAAACGCCTGTCGCTTTGTAATAACATACCCTATGTTTCAATTGAATCACAGCTCTTCTTGAAGCACGGGGTGTTCCTTCTCATCTGATTGGTTCACTAGGACCCCGCATGCATCAACTGCTGCATCGAACTATAAGTTCCAGCTCAGGTAAATGACTCCATGTCAAGGAAAGCTTTGTGTAGCTCATGTTTTAACATGTAGTTATATTTTTGACTGCGGATGTAATACTTAAATACAGTGTACATGTAAGCTGTGAAATTAAATAAATTAAAAGCAGCACCAATTTTCTTTCCCTGGCAAAGGAGAGGCTTCAAATGTTTCATCAACTTTATCAGAAAATTTGATTAAACTCACTTTTTCTGTTCAAAATTAAAGTTTTTCATAATATGCAGTTAAAAAAAAAAGTAGTGATAAAATCTCATGGTTGTTAGTAAATCCCAAACATATAGCGACTCTCTGAAAGGAACATCTCCCTGAAAGTAGTGATGCTCTGAAATTGGTGAAGAATATCTTACAAGCTAGAGTTTTTTTAATTATTGTTAATTATGACATTTACATGTATGATAGGAATGTTGTTTGTATTCTTCTTTAGTCCTCAACATTACTTACTTTGTAATGCTATCTCATAATACTTCATTACAGTGATGTTAATGCTTTTTTTTTTAATTGACGTTTAGGTGGTAAAGTCCAACAAATGTTAACAGGGATCCAGTCATCTGATGAGGGACAGCAGCTTCAGTCTGTTATTGAAATGTGCCAGGTAAAGCAGGGGTTATAAATTATTACAAAAAATAATTTATGCCTTGAAATTCACTCATAGAAAATAAGAATTTTGCATTGCAGAAGGGAGGGACAAGGCTACATACATGTACATTTCTTACGTTTACATAGGATATCAAAATTTGTTTTATATTCTATTTATAACTTAATTGCTTTCTGAGACTTCTTAATTAGTTTTAATTACAATTGTATGGTGTTTGTTTCAACTTGATGCTAGCTAGCAAAGTGTGTGGGGGAGATTGTAAACGTTGTAGACCTCATGCACATTCATTGCTTCAAACCTCTGAAACAGTTTTACATACACCAACTTATGATACACAGTGTAGAAAAACTGCTTTTAAGCCATGTTTCGTTTAGAAATTTTCCAACAACTAAATTACCACACAGACTTGAAATTTGGCAATTTGATCACATGGAAGTTTCCTAGATATTTTTCACTCAACAGAGAGGGATTAATTTAATTGCTCAGATAACTTCTGTGACTCAAGTTTGTATTTCTTTTCCTTTTAATGTCTTGGATGTATGTACTCTGTACTTCAGTGTGTAAAGTTGATATGCTTACATTTCCTTTTTTGTTTTAGTTCCTAGTAATGGGAAATGAAGAGAGCCTTGTTGGTTTTCCTGTGAAACAAGTTGTACCTGCTCTTGTGAGTAAATTGGTTAAAACTGGACATACAGTGCAGCAGTGCTAAACACTTCGACACTTAAATAAAGTGATTTATGTATTTTATTTTATTTTATTTTATTTTACATCTCCTGGTAGTAAAGTCAACAAAACCAAACTTCTCACATTGTACAGTGAGGCCTATAATATTGTTCACTCAGCATATTATTTTAGCACAGGATTTCAGAACAATCAAAGATGATTGCAGACAAAAGTTACTTGCAACTACCAGCAAGTGAAACAGTTTTCTGTATAAAATGTTGAAAAGGAGCTTGATCTGAACTTTAAGGCATTGTGCTGAAAGTGTATTTCAAATTATTGTTTTTTTGAAGGTAAACTTGCTTTCAATGGAACATAACTTTGATATGGTGAGTACAGTATTCCTTCCAGTGTGCATAATTTTTTTTTGTTAGTAACACTTTGATTTAGTTAATATGCAAATTCTATGTAAGTTACAAGCAAAGATACAGACATGTACCTGGGCCATACATGGTGTACATTTATATGTTTAGACCATATGCATAGTGCAAGGTTATCTTCTTATTGGAAATTTTATTGTAGGGCCTACACTGTAGTTCTTGATGAAAAGCAGTAGAAATTGAATAACAAAAAAATTATTATTTTAAAGTTGACAGTTGATTACCTGTCCCCTGCTCAGGTCTGTCACTAAGTTTTCACATAGGGAAGTTATTGTTGGAGTAGGTGGCTGATTTTGCCATCTTTTCCTTAAGAATACAAATAGCCCAAGCCCAAGGTGTTCAAAAGGTGGATAATGCAGTATCCACTGGATAAATCATTATCCAGCAGATAGCGGGGTTTGTTTTGTCAACACTTAACCACTGGATAGCGATCTATCCAGTGGATAGCATTATCTACCCTTCAAACAACTGGGACCAGCAGACTAACTGACCAAATGAAGTAGGTGGTGATTTCTGTTGGCTAGTGCCCACTTTTGACAACCCTACCAGCTTAGCAACATTTCTTACTTACCAAAATTATTCAGTCAATTTCCTTGCAAAACCAAATGTCTTATTGCCATAAGTCTTGAAGGTAAATTTGTTAAATTACTGTATGTTTATTTTCCTACAGATGAATCATGGCTGTCGTGCCCTGACCTATCTGATGGAAGCTCTTCCAAGGTCAACGGCGGTTGTAGTGGAAGCAGTACCTGTCTTTATTGAGAAGGTAAACCAACGGTTGGCTAAAATACAGAAACAACTTGGAAAAAGCTGATCATGTACATGAATATCCAATAGAGGAGTAGAAGTAAAGTGAGGGAAGCCAAGATTGGGTCATGAAGCTTTAGGGAACACTGTTTCACTGTCTGGAGTTTCCAAGCAGTTCATCTGTTGTGTTACTGGACATGACAAACAATTTTTTTTTTTAAATGTTTGATTCTTTGAAAGTTATGGTTGAATAATTTATAGCATTCAGATTTATGTTTAAAATGCAAATGAAATAATCCTATGTATTAGAGTATAAGAAACAGATTGGTCAATTTTAGTTTCGTTAGCTTGATGCTTAAATGTATAAATTTTGTCTATTTGCTTGATGTTAGCGATAAGATGTTTGTTATGTGGGGGGGGGNGGGGCAGAAGGAGGGCAGGAGCGTGGGAGAATAGGGGATGGGAAGCAGGAGTTCTAAGAAGGCAGGAATCATTTATTAAGTGTTAAAATACTGTCAAAAACAAGACCCAAAATGTTATATGACTTACATTAAGCTTATTATGAGACTTCTGGGCGGACTGAAAAATGATAATTTGCCCTTAGGGTAAAAAACTGAGGCTTACTTCCGGTAAAATTGGAAACCCTTTTACAGTGGTTACATCATAGGTCATGAAATATTGCCACTTAAGCTCTCAAAAGATGTGAGGAAGAGCAGCAGGGCTGAAAACAAAGGAAAAGAAATGCCTTAGAAGAGATTGCGCAGCAAAATGACCAGGATATGTTTTGAGCATCCTTATTTACAGGGGAAGGGAGCAAGATGGACAAGGGCGGGAGTTGGGAGAGCAGGATAGAGGAAGTGGGAGGTTCTGACCCCCCTACTTCCCCCCCCTACTTGTGGTTAATTGGTGGCATCAGTTTTAAAGACATTATTTGGATCTAGGCAGTTGAGCTTTTGCAGCATTGCAATTCATTTGGTGTTGAATGGAGACTGGTTGTGTTTTTAAACTGTGTAGTTACAAGTTATACAGTGTATGGATGTTGCAGAACAAGCACTGACAGCCTTGGCAATGTTGTCCAGAAGACATGGAAAGGCTATCCTGCAAGCTGTAAGTCAAGTTATTAACACTGTAATCATTACATCTACATGTAGTTGAGATTTAGTGGTTTTTAGAAAAAAAAAGCAAACAAACAACTGGCTAAACATTTTGCTTTCCCTCTGTTTCTCTGTAAATGTATGAATACCATCATACTGGTTAATAGATTGCTGAAAACTATTGGAGATGACTGTATAGTCATGTTGACTACATATTGCTGTCATAGAGCACTTTGCAAGCCAGTTTGGAACTGAAGAAAAGTTAAATCTTGTAAATTGCTTAGTTTTAAGGTATACTGATACACTGTAAAATGGACCTTGAGTTCATTTTGTTACTCATGAACAAGGGAGAGAACTAGTTAGTCAATAATAATAATAATTACTCCTGTTTTCACATTTGGTCAATGACAACTAAACAAATGTATGATGGAAATCTTCAATCTGAAAACACTTCTGCAAGCTATCTGAAGTTCTCCAAATTATTTGGACTTTCTTGAATGAGGCACACTGCTCTTTCCAAGATTTTATGTCAATTTCTGATGATTTGTTAAAATAAATAACAATAATCATTAGATTGAGTATTTTTAGTTAAATTGCGTTTGCATTAATAGCATAGCTTCTGTAACATCTGATGACTGTTTTCTTCTTGTAGGGAGGAATGTCAGCTTGTTTGTTATACTTGGATTTCTTCTCAATATCTGCCCAGGTACTGTATTACTCAACAGTCTCTTCTATTTTTCAAGCATCCAAAAATGTATTACATATAGGAGGCAAAAAATGTAAAAAACAGTGATCCTGGGGTTGGAGACTTTCCTCAGCCTTTACAAGTTTCAACTCTGTACATGTACAGTTCAAAGAGAACAACGAAACATTAATGCCACTTCTGTTATTTCCTCACTTATGTGGTGGTAACCCTAAAGAGTTGAACATAGGCAGGAATGGATGTTAATAAAATTATTTTTTGAGCAGGAAAGTACTTGTTGACAATTTTAAATGAATCTGAGATCATTCATTACAAAGATTAGAACTGGTTAGTGGTGATCAACAACAGCAAGTATTGTTATTGTTGTTGTTGGTGGTGGTGATGGTGGTGGTGTTGCAGTTGTCAGGAACTTTATTTTAGGGAGTTTCCTTGTTTTCCATAGTTCTGTTGCTGACTAACATGCTTTAGGGTTTAACCATTTCTGATTACATTATTGTTATTAATACGTGTGTGCCTATTTTCAGAGGTCGGCACTCTCTGTGGCTGCAAACTGTTGTCACAGCATTGGCTTGGGTGACTTTCACCTTGTTGCAGATTCTATTCCAATCTTAAGTGGGAGATTACAACATCAGGTACAGGTCCTCTGACATTAAGTGAATGTGGATCATCTGATAAAATGACTATGACATGATTGATAACAGGTTCATAGAGTGCATTTTTTATTGTTTAAAAGTTCACGTGTGTGACAGTTTAACAAAAAGATTCCATGTTGCTCTCTGTCTGTTCTGTAATGACAGATGACGTCAAAATGTGGTGAAGCAAAAAAGTGGCACATGAGCCATAGATTTTTGCAAATTTGTAATCATGGATTCAAATGTCTAAATTATGTTTGTTGTTCTTTTTAAATAACTGATCCTGAATTGACCCTCAATAACCTGAACGATAATGACTTAAGACTTTAAAAACCAATTTTGGTTCGCCTTGAAAGAAATTAACAATTCTACGCAAGTTGTATCCACAATAATTGTTAACATAAATTTTTATGAAAGTGTGCCTTCTTGGTCATGATAAAACAACACCTCCACGATTAAGTGTAATTCAAAGCCACCTTTTGTAATGTGAGCGCAAAGTCCTGCTTTCTCAAGCCAATGTTCATTTCCTTTAGAGATGAAAGAAATTGGGATTCCAATATATTAACTTATTAGCTTTGTCTGCTGTATTGATTCCACTTGCTGTGAATAAGTTGGTTGAATTTGTCTCTTGTTTTCAATCTTTGCAGGATAAGAAATCTGTAGAAAGCTGTTGTGTAGCATTTGCAAGACTGGTGGATAGCTTTCATACTAACGAGGTACGGATCATATGAATTGTAGTTTCTCTGGGACCAGGTGAACTGTCTGTCCATACTATGGAGGTGTTCATAAAGAGAGGTTGGACTGTAAATGAAGGAGAATTTGACTCTCAGCCAGTCTCCATACAGGGTCACACAAAGGTCTTTGCATATTTTGACACATTCAGGGGTTTTATTACAAGCTGTTGATGGTAACAGTTATCTAAACAGAGGGTAGCAGCGAAGGGAAATAAGCCAGGAAAGAGATTCAAAGTGGATGCAACTAAAACAACTAACAGTTTGGTCTAAAGTGGTACGAGTAATCTTTTGATCTCATTGCAATTTTGCTTAGAAAAATGAAATACTGGTACTTTCTGTAATTAATAAAACTAGTTGACATGAAGTTTGTGTTCAATATGTTTAGACTTAAATTTAAAGTTTGCATTTAACACAGTATCGAATTGAAATTTGTAAACATGTGATTGATTCACATTTATTTAATTAGTACTTTTTTGGCAGGGAGCATTTAACTTTGCTTGTATGGTAAAATTTATAGTTGGAAACACCATTACTAACAAGATGTATTTTTTGGTTTAAAAAATTTCAGAAACACCTTGAAGAGCTTGCTGCTCATGGGCTCCTCAATAATCTACAGCAGTTGGTAAAGTCTTGTCCCTTAACCTATTGTTACCATTTAGTTTATTTACATTTTTTTCTGGCTTCTTTAATTCATTTTCTCTACACAAAAGAAACATATGGAGGTCTAGTAAACCAGTAAATTATCTCAAGGTTAGCATTTGTGTCTGGTCAGAGCTGTCAAGGAAGATGCTTGTCTCTTGCAATGCCTTTTTACCTATACATACCTCCCTACATACACATTTTTATGAAATAAAAATTGTTAGGTAACCTAAGAAAAAGCTACATACTGGATAGCCAGTAATTTGATTCTAATTTCTTCTGGTTTATTTTTGTTATTACTCTTGCATTTCCAACCAGCATAGCAGTGTTAAGTGCCATGACACCGAACTAAATTGATTGATTGATTGATTTATGTACATAGTTGATGATGGCTCCGCCAGTTATTAGTACCAGCACTTTTGTGATGGTGGTTCGCATGCTGGCTGTGCTGTGCTCCAACAGTCCAGCAATTGCTGTGCAGCTGTTGAGACAAAGTAAGTTCTGTGTGTGTAACTGTCTTTATTCCATTGCTCTAACACCTCAAATGTAGCTTACGCTGATTTTCAACAGACACAAGGAAGGGCAGTTTAAGCGGTCATCTACTGCAGTTGTAACAGGCCAAAAATACTAGATGTACTATATTTTTATAGTTCCCTTTGCTGAAACTCTTCTAGCAAAATGTATGCTCTCATAAACCACTTGTTGTGCACGTCAACATGAAGAAACTACCATTTCTCACTTATGGATGGTAATGATGTGTTTCAGATGTGTCAGATACAATTCTGTATTTGTTGCTGGGTACCACAGAGCCAGAAGAGATAGAGAATGCTGAGGTACAACCTTTTGAGATGATTTTTTCTGAACCCTTTAACCTCTTTAAATACCCTATTTCTGTAAACCTAACAGTGTAGTGTCTTAATGTTAGGAAGATGAACACTGTGTTGTCCTGGAGAATATCCATACCACACCAATGGAAGGGTTTTTGGTTTGAAGCCTCTCACCTCTGGAAATTCTTCTTAAGCTTCATGTTTTAAAAATAACAAAACATCACATCACACTCCTCTAGGTCTACTGACATTAATAACTAACAGATTTGCTTTTCATGGAGGTTGTGTCCATATACCACAAATTAACATGCAGTTCCAGAAAAATCCAAACTAATCACAAGGAAGGGTAATTGAAATTCTGAGGGATTTCAAGCCAATATTAATTATTCAATTTTTGTCTTATCTCTTGATATAGCTGTTGTCAAGAAGTCCCCAAGAATTTTTTGAAATAACTTGTTTTATCAGGTTTGTTGCTTATTCAAAGTAGTCATGTAGTAACATAGTGCTTACAAATCAAGCTGTGAAGATATTTGTAGATCGTAGAAAATAAATCTCAGTAATAATTACTCTCATTACAATTTAATGTCAATCACTCCATTCTGTTTTCAATATATTGTAGTCATGAGCAATTTCAGAAAGGTTTTGTAAGCAGTGTATCTTTAATTAGTCTATAGCCAAGGTTTCTGGAGCTCTCCAAACTCAAAGTAATTTTATTTTTTGTTGTAGGGTAAAATGCTATTGTGCGTGTGTGTGTGTGCGCTAAGTTTTAATATGCCATCTCTGATACATATGTAACCCTCAATAAATAAAACTAAAAGATTAATAATTCTACCTTTTGTTTCTATTAGTGAACTTCTACCAAAATTGCCATCAAATGGTAAGTTTTTTATAGTATTGGTGAACTTTAGTTCAAGTTTTATATGGAAGAGTACCAGTTATAATGGAATTAAGTAAAGACATGAATGATTATTGCAGTTATCTACAAACATTTTAAGCAGTTGTGAAATTTAAACCTGCAAAAAACCAGGCTTAAATGGGATTCAAACCCATGACCTTGCGATAATGGTACAGTGCTCTAGATACCAACTGAGCTGTCAAGCCAACTGGGAGCTTGTCATGTTGTGAGTTCACTTGCAAAATGGAGTTAACTTCTCAATATCACGTGCATTAAGTTACCACGAAATACATTGTAACATCAAAGAATGCACCAGAGGTATGAATAGTTACACTAGGAATGTCGCCACTGTGTTTTTAGGTATATTCTCAGTGGATGCCCTGCTGTGTAAGCCACAGCAGAAGTCAGAACAGGGATTGTGGCAGTGGAGAGATGACAGAGGACTGTGGCACACATATTCCTGGATTGACAGCAAAATTATCGAGGCTGCATATCAGAGTGGGGAGGATGAGCTTACTCTCACCACTCTCGGTAGGACATACACTGTGGACTTCAACAGTATGCAGCAGGTAACTCCTTACATAGATAAAGAAGGACAGCAAAGATTGATTCTGCTAACCTGTTTACACCAGTCTGATAAAGTAAAGTAAGAGTAAAATCCTATATTTAAAACACGATTATCGTTTAAGCACTACATGCTTGAGGGGTCGTGTATCTAATTAATTATCTAATTATCTAATTACCTACTGATCAGTTTTGCCACCCAATTCACGTCATCTGATGAAATGATTCGTAAACTCCCAATCAACGAGTCAAAGTCCAAAGTCTTAACGATCACCGGAAAGTGTTTGGCGTCTAAGATCAATGATGATCTTGTTGTCACCGTTGAGGACAATAGGCTCGTAAATGTTAAAAGTGCAACGCTTTTAGGTTTGACAATCAATAGCTCACTCTCATTTGATTGTCATGTTGAAAATCTTTGCAATAAGCTTGCCTCGCGCATAGGTGTTTTGAGTAAAATCACAGCCTTTCTGTCACTTAAACAGCGATTGTTGTTCTATAATGCCATTATTCGCCCAGTAATGAGCTATGCTGACATCATTTGGTCGTCATGTGAGAAGGATCTGCTTTACAGAGTCTTGAAATTACAGAAGCGTGCAGCTAGGATCATTTTATATGCCGACCGCCTAGCCCCCTCTGTGACACTTTTCAATAAGCTGGGATGGATACCTTTTTATGAACAGAGTAAAATTAACAAATGTGCTATTTTTTATAAGTGCATAAATGGCTCTCTTCCGAACTATCTCAATAAACACTTAGTAATTAACAATACATAACATAACAGAAGCACGCGGTATGCCAGCTATAATTCTATTTGCCCTTATTATAAGCGTGAGACTGAAGGAGGCCGTTCTTTTGCTGTATCAGCAGCAAGACTTTGGAATAATGTGCCTCTAAATACCAGAAAATTGGACTCCGTTAAGTCCTTAAAAACTGAAAAAAAAAAAAAGCTATGGACCATTTTAGGATTTAACTTTTTAAATTTAAGTTAATCGTATTGTAATTAATATACTCGCGTCTCATAATTATTTTTAGGTTTTTGACTTTTATTATATTATATATTTGTATTCATAGTTTTATTTTCTGAGGGCCACAAGTTTATTAGCCTTTGGCTAATAAGTGTTTAACCCTCCTTAAATAAAGTCTTTATTATTATATTATTACATTTATTTGGAAAGTTACTTTTTTTCTGTTTTTACATACTTCCATGTAATCACTTGCATGTAGCAAGCACAATTGTTAACCTCCCTAATGAATCATCATGTGGTCTGAACTGGGAGGCAACAAGTATGTAAACATGCTAACCGAATCTGTCTACTTTGGAGATGGTGATATGAACTAAGAAGATTGGAAATAAGTGAGACAGACTACTCTGTGATTTGAACAGGCAAACAGTTTCAGGCCACACAACATGCCATATTATCTTCACTTGTTTTGTTTATTTCTTTTTGAATATAACATGTAATGTAGCATAATAGTAACTTCACAGATATGGGGTTGTCAAGTTCCTTATGAAATCCTGACGCATACTTTGTCTTTGGAATGACCAAGACGATGCTAATCTGATAGGTTAAACATTAGGGAAAGTTATCACTAAGGACAAGTTAATTTCTAAGTTATATTGATAACAAGGGGGAACACCACGAATTCCACAGGTATTGAAACAGTGTATGTTACAGCCTGTAAAATAAGCTACAATGAGGTTTTACCTACTCTTTGTCTCGTATGGTTTTAGCAAACCTGTTGCACATGAGCTTAATATCGTGAACTTTTCTCTGTAGACAAATGAAGACACTGGAACATCAAGGCAAATACAGCGATGTCCGGGAGGAAGTGAGACATCTACAGCCCCGTCCAAAACCGATGAAGCAAAAGCCCCAAGGAGTGATGAGCGTTTAGTAGTTTTATGCGAGGAAGCTGAATTAGCTTCATCTTACACTTGTGGAATGTTTTCTGCTTTGTACAAGATATTCAGCTCTTCAGTTGGACCTGCTGTTCGACACAAATGCGTGAACGCTATTCTGAGGGTGCTGTGTCATGCCCCTCCTGATCTTTTAGGTGTGGTCCTCAAAAGACATCCAATCTCCAGTTTGATAGGGGGAATGCTTCAATCAACAGACTTGAGAGTCATTACTAATGCTCTTCAAATGGCAGAAATTGTCATGCAGAAATTGCCTGATGTTTTCCATGTGTCATTCAGAAGGGAGGGGGTGATGCATAGAGTTAGAGACTTAGCCAATGGCCTGCTAGCAAATAAACCAAGTGTGTCAGATAAGAACTGTTCATCAGAGTGTCTGGCAAACAGCAGTGAAAATGAAAGCCCAGGACAGAGAGCCACTGAAAATACTTCATCATTACCAGTCACAAGGTCTGAGTTCTCTTTATTTGTTTGATGTACATTTTACCAATGGTGACAAGTTAGATTACTTGTTCCAACAGCATTCTATTGTGGGATTGTTTGTTTGCTCAGACATTTACCAGGCCCTCTGTGGCAAGCTAAGTTCTACAATTCAGTTGATATTTTATAGCTGGTGTTTTATTTAAGACACCCACCTCTGCATTTTGACTTCTGCGCATTTTCTCCAGTATTCTGTTCACATGTTGGTAACTGAAATTCGATAACTCTCATATTTTCTGGAAACGTTTCCAGGAAATTTCCATACTTTTTGCCTTCATTTGGAAAGTTCCAGGATTTTTGATGAAATGGAAGGCACCCAAGATTTTTGAAAAGTGCTCAAAATTGAAAATTGCGTGAAAGTTATAGTGGGTGTGACCTTCAGAAAATATCTGGTTCTTGGGATCATTGGAAAGAATCAACAAAACTTTTATGACATCAAAACGTAGCTCCTAAGGCGCATTTTGGTATTTTTAAGGCAATTTCATCCAATTTTTATGCCCAATATGGCTCGCACAAAATTCAAGTTTTACCAATTTCAAGTTCCGATGTTTATGATTTCCACAAAAACATTGATTGCCCTAAAAAGGACCTGATACCAAACTTCGATCTATTTCATTTTCTTGTAAGTGGTGTGGGTGTCACTTCGATACAATCAAGGGAAGACTGGTAAAAAGCTGATTGAAGATGTTAAGTATGGTCCAGAAAAAAAGTCAATATGTCAGTTATGTATCCCTTGAAAATTTTATATAGGTTCTGGACTTGAATGTTCCTGAAGAGCTCTTAATTTCTTGACGACAATCTCTTACTTCAATCTGCATTACAGGAGATTAGGAGATGTGTTGCGAAGAAAACGGTATTCCAAAAGGCCTGGTAGAGGCAAGGCGTCAAGCTTTCCTAGCACATCAGAAGTACAAGTAGAGGTTAACCGACAGCAGATTGGAGGACCTTCTTCAAAGACAATGCTTCACGAAAGCAGAGCGGCTTTTCTGGCGTCTCAATCATCGACAAGATTGAATTCAAGATCTGCACTGCTCTCAGAGAGACCAGCTAAGGTGCAGTATATGGTGTCGTTTTTTTTGACTATGTTGCTTTTACATATGGACACGTTTACCAACACATCAACGAACACGCCAGCTCAAGATCTTTGATTGGAAAGCATATGAAACTACAACTACAACAAGTAGTCGAAAAACCATCGATTACCGATCATTTCTCCATTATAAAAAAAAGTGCCGGAATAAACTCGAAATGCTACTTGCTGGTGATTAGTAACTTACATTTACCCACTTAACGCATACTGGAATGCAATCCATTTCAACTCAACTCCTTCATAACAACTTTGACATGCACGTTAACGACCTCAATCTTGAGAATGAAGCTTGATGAATCGAAACGCCGATTGACGTTACTTTTAATCTTTCTTGTCAAATGCTTTAACAAGCAACTCATTATTCCATCTAGTCATAAGCTTTGATATTAGGACATAGATATCTTTATCTACCTGTGATCATTGAGCACACATAAAGTAACACAAATGCATGTGTCATAATTATATTGGATATATTATTTCTTGAAGATGGAGGCATCTGTTGGGAGCACTGTGTCAGAAAACCGAGATAAAATTATGAATTGGATCAAAGACCAAGGTAAAACTAAATAAAAAACATACATTAATTTTATAACTGATCTTCAGATAATCGTAGCGATCCTAAAGAAAGTGCATCTTGTAATAATACAGATGTAAAACTCTTTCTTGCAGCATCTAAGTTCTGTGCTGAGTATTTTGATCAACAGAAGGGAGATTCTCACCCTGCACTCAGTGTGTTACGTCAGCTAAAGAGTGCTTCAGAAGAGTTGGCTTTAGATGTAAGTTTGTGACAGTTATCCTGTTTGCATGATTGAGCTGCCAGATGGATAATTATAAGTTAGGCATTTCAAGAAAGTACTGTGTTCAGTGCGGGCACTACAAAACGTTTTTTGAATATATTTTAATACAAATACATTGGTTACAGTGCGACTACTCCAACGAAGGGCGCCTAAAAATTTTTCGAATAAAAATCGTGGAGGTTAGGAATAGTGTTCTTACAAATTATCCATAATGACCACAAATCTGTTGCCTTTGTAATGTACAGCTTGATTACATGGATAATTTGTTTGGAAAACTATTGTTGATCTCCACGATTTAGAGTAGTCGCACTGTAAAGCTGAGGGAAAAAGTCATGGAAGTCGTGAAGTCAGTAAAATAATGTGCTGGGTCCATTGAAGGGCTAGAAACCTAACACTAACGATGATACACACAACTGCAACTTGATAAACTTTATTGAGAATATGTAGTAATTTATCTAAAGTAGTAAAAAAACACAAACATAAAAAGAAAGAAACTAATACAAATGTAATACATTAGTTGTAATCTGGTTGAAAAAAAGTAGCTTGCCAGTTGAAGTGGACTCCAATTGGCGAATAATGAAATCCTATTAGGGTAAATTCAAATATCATTCGCCTCGTTATTTGTCTGAAGGACTAAGCAGGCTTTACACTTGAAAATAACCTGAAAGGGTCCATTGTTCAAAATAATTGCAAGCAATGGTGATTAATATTTCTTCAATGAATTGATTGTTTGTTTGTTTCTTATCGCAGAAACAAAAATTTACGTCAGCACTCAAGGTAAATAATAATTATTTCGTTTTTGGTTGTTTGACACATGCTCTACTTGTGACGAGAAAACGGTAATCATGTTAAGCACAAGGATCAACACTGTTTAAATTGAATCACCTTAAAATATGTCGTTTGTTTGTGTGAACAGGAAGTCTCCAATGTGTTAACTAATGAAGACAACAGTGCCTGTGCATTTGAGATCCTTCACAGTGGACTGGTACCAAATCTCCTTAGGTATGCTGTTTAATGCGGTATGATTTGCCTCGGTTCTTATTAGATCTGGAAATTCAGTTTGTAATGCAGCTGTGGTTTTGTTTTAATTGTTACATACACGGCCAATGTGAAACAATTAACCATTACTTTTTTCTTTCCTGGTTTAATTTGTTTTTTTCAGATATCTAACGTCTACAGAAGGTAGTGACACCCTTCCTCAGGAAAAGAGACTCAGAATATTTTTTCATGTTTTTATGGGATTACCGGTAAGTGTAACGTTAACAGCCAGTAACTTTATTTCTTCATGTGGTAAGTAAGTAAGTAAGTAACTAAGTAAGTAAAGACTTTATTTAAAGAGGATTTGCACTGTTGGTGTGTTGACCTTTCTCACCCCAGCACAAAATCAATGGTAGAGTAAAAATGAAAGGTCATAAACGTCATCGTTATTTTCTTTGCTGTAGGAAACAAACTCAACTGAAGACCTGAAAATTGTGGTAGGTATAGTTCTTCTTCTATAAAATCTTAGAATATTCCAAGGGTTTTGAATTAAAAACACATCATTACTGGCTTTGGCCCGTTATATCACATGTACAACTCAGACATGTATGTCTCGCCCAATTGACAATCAGCACTGAATTCATTGATTGACTGCCCAACTCCAAATGCCTTTAGATACAGCCCCAGATGCTGAGAATGATGGAACTATCACACAACCCAAACTGGTGAAACACCTAAAAACACCTAAAATCGGCATACAGCTTAGTAAACATCATACAGCCTAAACATCATAGACTCGGTCATTAAACTGAGTTGAATATAACTAAGAGGTGAACTCTAGGTGATGAATATTTCGAGTGTTCGTGACCTCGCTAGGAAACACTTATGTGTTTAGGAGAGAAGCTTTTCAGTCTAAACGTTATTATTATTACTGTGCGAAGTAGTTGATTGGAAAATCACTTGGTGAGCTTTAAATCAGAGCGCTGATTTGGTTTTTTATTTGACAGAGTGAACCCGAAACAGCCTCCATGACTGCGTTGATACAGAAACTTCATTTGTGCATTAACCAGTTAGAACAGGTAAATGATGTACAGTAATACTGTGGTAACATCAACCTTTCTTCTCAAACTCATAATATAATTCATCAAGTTTAAACATAGGAAATCATGACCGTGGCGTTGTTTGGATATGTGATCTTAATTAGCATAGATTTGTACAATTTTATTTCTCCGTTTTCTCTTTAGTTTTAGTTTCGATTGAGAAGATACATATATCAAACATTCAAGACAGTGTTTGATCACATTTCCAAACACGTCAAAGTTCGTCAAAAATACTCCCCCTACGCGTCGTAATTTCAACTCTCTTCTCGGTGTTTGGAAATGTGGTCAAACACGGTCTTTCGTGTTTGATATATTTCTTCTCATACCAGTGCTGTACTGATTAAAAAAGGATATATTAACACGATTTTTGTGTGATTCAATGTGGTTGTAGCTTGCATATGGCTCTGTCCTTTTTCAGTAAATTGCTATTGCTTTAACTACTTTGATTTCAAAGACGTAACTCACCTGACTAGTTTTCACAGATAGCTTTTTTTCATGAAAAAAAAGCAGACGTCAGTTTGCATTTGTGGGCTATGAATGTCATTACTTGAAAAATGTTGGTTGTAAGTAATGTAGTTGGAACTTTCTTGTAGAAAGCAATGTTTATCTTAAACTGAAAGCCTGGGAATACATTCTTCCGACGAATGAGTTCAGTAACCCTCAAAGTATGAAAAGAATGAAAAGAAAACGTTATTTTACCTGTTTTTCCAGCTTCCAGTCAAAGTTCACGACACACCAGGAGGAGCTGTTGGAGCAAGGTACTTGCCAAAGTAATATCCTGTTGAGATATGTACCAAATAAGACCAGCTTCACTCAAAGGTTTGTGATTGTTGCTTTTCAGGGGATCACAAGCTCTGAGATTCTTCAGTTCTCATCAAATCAAGGTTTGTTTATTCATAAACTCAAAATATTGTCCTTACTGCTTGGCTTGCGACTTCGACGTTATTTCTTATTTTTAATCATCACCATATTTTGATAATATCCACAAAGAGAAAAAACTTTAATGTTTTTTTTGTGTGTGTGCGTGTGAACTGTGATTTTCTACAGGGTAAAGTGTAAGGAAATATTGAGATTAGAGAGAACCATAACATATTGCAAGTACCACTCTTACATATTAAAATAACATGGCTACAAAATGCGCTACATGTAGTCAACTATTGTACTGTTCTAACAGTGCAGAATATATTTTGTAATTGCTGAACGGCTGGGCTTACTTTCCAGCAACTTTTTCCATGCAAACCTTGCATTTTGAACTTTCCAACTTAGCTAATGCACTGCACTTGCTCATTAGTGCCTTCTACAAAGACACCCTGATTGCGAGGGCTTGCGGCAGTGGAAACGTGGCCCAGTGAAAATTGATCCTCTAGCTCTTGTTCAGGTAAACGCCAGCTTCAGTTTATTACTTGCTTTAGAGTGGTTTTCATTTGAGTGTCGAAAAATAATTGGTTTTGCATCAACTACACTACACGATTGGCTGAAAAAACTCGCGCTACTTTTTCATCCAATCAGAAGTAAAACCAAAACCAATCGTGACTCACTTGCACTCTTTTTCCCGCGCTTTGCGTCAGCTACATGTAATTACTTCAAGTTTTGATTGGTTCACTTGATTGTTTGTGTCCTTTGTGATTGGCTAGAGTGATTCTTTACGACACTCAATTGAAAACTGCGCAATTTTGCTTCTGACATATTAATTGAATAAGGTTTTAATATTACCTGCATCACTGATTATTACTCTTAGGCTATTGAGAGGTATCTAGTTGTTCGAGGCTATGGAAAGAAGCGAGAGGTTAGTGACAATGTGTCCCTTTGCTTGCAAGGCCGTACCTAACTTATAAATTGTAGTGTCTTCAGATTTCTTATATGCAAATAAGAAAAAAAGAAATGCAAATCAAGTCATACATGGTTGAATTGTTCATTACATCGGATTGTTTGCTATGCGAAACAATAACTGCCGTTTAAAAAAAAAAAGAAATGAAGGTGGCTGTTAACCTTGGTGAAGTGTAATGAAGCATTTTGGTAAACTGATTATTGCATGATCTGGAAATTTTCCTGTAGACTCAAACGCGAAACATTTTTAAAGCCCCTTGGCAATCTTAGCCTCTGACAGTGGTAAATGATGAAACTTGCAACTGATTTTTGCATAATACGAGCGGTGCGAGCTTCATTTGAACAATTCTACTATTTAAATCAGACTGTATGTTTTTTGGAGCAAGTTGTGTAGTAGATATCTAAATTGCATTCGAAGTTTCATGATTGGTTTGTTTTTATGACAGAATCCAGATGATGATGGTAGTGAAGATGATGGGTAGGCAAATAACGATAAACTACAGTAGCAAAATAGATGATGTATATTTATATATTTTTGTGACTTAATGATGTGATAGTCATTTTAAGTCCGAAGTGTTTTTTTTCTTCCTGAAATGTAACGGCTGATTTAAACTTGTCATCCCACTAAATTCAAAATGGCACGTTTCTTTCATTACTTACTTATCCAGGGATGGCAAGAGCAGAAGTGTTGTAAATTAGTCAAAGAGACCTTTCGTTTCTACGATCTTTATTTATCCATAAAGGATTGGGATTTGCTCTTTTACAATTGTTGGTCGTTTTTTTGTAACTTGTGGATTTCCTTTGTAAAGTTAAACTTAAGTGCTTAATTTCTCTCATAAGAAACGAAAATTCTTAGTGCTTTTAAATGATCTTTTGGTACGCCAGTGTTGTTTTTTTTTCAGCCTGTAATCAACGTTTCTTTTATTTTGACCCTGCTCGAGTAGTGAGGCACTGACCATGTTTTTAACTGACATTTTCAGGTCAGACGACGACATCGATGAGTCTTTGGTAAGAACTGTGGTTATTTATCTTGGAGTTGATCTTTCCATCAAATTAACATAGTACATGTATCTGCTCGAAGTTTAAAAGATTGTGTTTTGTTCCTACAGGCGACTGAACTACAAGGACAAAACAACTCAAGGTTTGCTGAGATTTTTATATTTCTATTCTATACTATTTTTGGTTAGTGATGTTTTCAAGCTGTAATAGACCCCTTGCATAAATGGCTGCCAATTATAAATTCTTTTGTAAGTATTAAGACTAGCCTTACTAACCTCGTTTTTAAGTTGATAATTCAAACGAATTTTTAGTCTCGAACGACGTTGGAGAGGCTAATTTAAATGCATACAAAAGAATTTTAATTGGTAGCCATTTATGAAAAGGGTCTATGTTGTAGCTCACTTTATCGTAACAACACAAACTGAGCCGACTGCCATAGGTTTATGTAACAATTGGTGACTGTTTTGATGTAGGCATCAACTGGAGATTTTGTTAGGAGATCATCTTCTTCCCTACAACATGACAGTCTATCAAGCTATCAAGCAGTTTGCTCAGGTACGTTATTATACAGAACTGCTTCAAAAGTTTCTAGTTCAAGTGATTTCGTGTTATAACCCGTGAAAAAGTGACCACACAATAAGATTCCATTTCCTCTCAAATGTGTTCTGGACTCATTATCCTTGAGAAGCAAAATGAAACTTAATATTGTAGAAGCAAAGTTATCATGTCCGTTTTAACGGAAAAACAAGATTAAACTCCGTTTCCCCTTCGAACCTCATGGAATCATATTTTTTAAATTTGTATTGGTACATATTTTGTCTTGTAGGGCGATGAAGACAAAGACTTTGATGATGATCACGGTGGGATCCTAGGCAGACCTAGTATCTGGGTCTCAACACACACAATATGGTAAGGGGGGAGGAGGGGGGGTGGTGGTGGCACACAAACTGTTGTCTTATTCACTAACTGGTATCACATAAACTTTACCTCATGTTGGGACTCATAGTATCTCTGTTTTGAGCAAGTGCTTTACATGGTCTTGGGTGACTAGTACAATCACAAAGTTACCAATCTTGGCTCAAAGCTGTTTATCGACATTTTTTAATTAAGTGATTGTTGCTGTTGGTTAGACAGCGTGGCAGAGTTCATCTCCTAGTTCATCTCCTCGGTCATATTTGTTAATAAAGCAGGCGATCCGCCTTGTGCCAGTTGGAATTCGTAACCATTTTGTTGTATTATATTATTTTTACATAAAAAGCCCATTACAGTGAGGGCATAATTCAATTTTAATTTTTTTTATCACTGTCGTTGCTTCTGTTTCTACCGTTGTTTTTATTCTCATAATAACAATCTCTATACCACTGTGTCATTTTAGGTTTCGACCTCTGAGTCAAAACCAAAGGGAACAGCAAACTGTTAATAGCAGTAAACCCAAGTCTGGTGCCACTAGTACTGGTTCACGACTGTCCAGGAAAACATGGAAGGAAGATGGTGAGTATTTGATGATGCACACTGTAAATAACTGAAAGAATTTGAGCACCTATTCCTTTATCTCCAATGAAAACACCATTTTCGAGTTGTCAGGTCATCGGTTGCACATTCAGGAAGGGACTGAATAACGTCCATATGTCTTTGATGAAACGGGATCGCAGTCGTTTTTAAATTGTTTCAGGTAGTACTTGGCGATTGTTATGGATTAAATAAATTTTCTGTTTGAAAGATCTCTTGGTCTCTGGATGATACTTATCAAAAATTACGCTGTATACAGCTGTTTCGACAAAGGTTGTTCCACAATCGTAAAAGCGTCCGCGATTGGTATTATGGTTAGTAATGGTGTGGCTTTGCATGATTGAGGTTCACAGTGTTTCAGCAAGAGGAAGGAGAAAGCATGATTACAAGTGCTTGTGCTGTTTCCTTCTATCACGCTGAAACAACTCGAGGTCCTCATGCTTCAAACAAGGAACCGTAATCAACCATTACTCATAGTACCTTTCGACTTTGTTGCGTACGCTTTTATGCCTTGGTAGGACAACCTTTCCCGAAAGAAGCCCTGTTTGGTAAAGATGTTAAATAGCTCTAAAAAGAACAGTTGCAATTCACCACCTTTAGAAATTATGACGGCTTATCTTTAAGGACATGTGTCGTGTCTTTTGTATGCGTGTCGACCGAAAATATTTTAAGAACGCCTGCTAGCACGTGAATTCAAATAATTGACAAGTCAAATGAACATCCATCGAATAGAATATCAATAGAATCCGACTGATGTGATAAGTTTCGCATGCACGTGACATTTTGTTTTGAATAAGTACGTTCAACTTTACTCTTTGAGAGTTAGTATGTAAGTTAGTTCGCGAAGTTCGCGAAGAAAGTTTCGTAAGAAAGTTCAGAGAATTTCGATGCGAACGTAGATTGAGATATGATGCGTAGAAACGCATATTAAGGCTAAGAAAATTAGTACGACGCTGTGGAACTCGGAAGTAAAGGTCAGGACTCGTAACTTTTATTAATATTTGTAGTGCCGTATAAAAAGAAAATTTAAATAGATGTAGCCACCTCACTGATCTTTGTCTCTTCCAGATTCAGAAGTGTCCTTAAGTCAGCTCCTTTCGGATTGTGAACCTCAAAACTTTAGTAAGTTGAAACAAAACCTTGAACAATTTTTTAAATACAATCTACAGACAGCAAATCAAATTTGCTACCAACTTAACTTGCTGGGGTAATAGAAACGCCTTGTTGGAGCAACCTTCACTAGAATTGTTATATTCGCGGATACAGTTTTACAGTTTTAACGTTCATGTTTTTTTTGTCTCGTTTTAGCCACTTGTGATCCAAGTATCGAAGTGATTAGTCTCATGAAAGCTTTACATGTTCTCAACCTTCATTGGACAACACTTTATGAGGTTAGTGCGCCTAACTGGAAATTAAGCTCCTAAAGTTTAAAAAGGGGTCAAGTCTGCATACGAGCCGTGGCCCACCAGGCCGGAGCTTATCCCGGTTTCTGTAGCACGAAGTGACTAGGAGTATTTTTACTCCCCTCCTAAATTGTGTCTGGGTCAAATGACGGTGCCAAATGAATGGAAAGTTCTACGGTGTTATAAAACCATCAAGCCTTTCATGCAGTTAGCCTAAGTTTTGGGTGTTTCAGTCTGTGGGAAAAAGAAGCAATTGAGTATTCTTGCTGTAATCAATGACTCAAGCTCCTTTAAGTCCTGGGCAAACGGACCGGCAAGTAGTCGCAAGTAGCCTCAAATTCAAACGTTAACGGACTCGCAAGTTTCCTCGCAAGTACACCTAAGACGCGAAAACAAAACCATTTCAAGGCTTTCAAGGCTATATTTCATTGGCTAATAGGTTGCTATAGCAACGAATGGACGTCACTCAACTTGCGTTGACTTGGGTGGGGTGGCGAAACAGTGAAAAACTTGCGTCGACTTGCGTGCAAATTTGATCTCGACCAAAGTGGGCGCAAGTCATCGCAAGTCAACGGAGGTGCACGCAAGGCAAGTTTTTAACTTGCGTCTACTTGCGAGCCCGTTTGACCAGGGCTTTTTAGAGACAGAAAGAAATCTTATTTTAATTTGCTTTTTTCAGGGACAAAGCCGCAGAGCGTTCTTATCTTCTAATGAATTTATCAACAATAAACTCGCGGCAAAAATTACCCGACAATTGCAAGGTAATGTTCCGTTGTTTGCGGTCAGGATGAGATACGTACCGGTATGTGAAGTTCGTGACATTTACTCTTTTTCGATTTCGATCAGATCCCATTACAGTGATAACTGGTAACTTTCCTGCCTGGGTAGAAGAGCTTCCTCGAAAATGGTAAGCTTTTGTAATCTGCAAACTAGTTCGTTTTGTTGTACGTCTCCATCTTCATGTTTCCACTCCGGTAGCCTTGGCTTTTTCAGATGGGGCTAAATTTTATTGTATCTCTATTGTTTTGTAGTAAATATCCTGTTGTTGTTGTTATTATTGTTGTTACGTTATTGTCTTTGCTGCTGTTATCGTTGTTACTCTTATTAGAGAGAATCCAGACTCATAACTCACTGACCCAAACCTGCTTTCTTATTTGTTTTATTGTAGTAACGTAATCTATATTGTTACATTGCAGTCCGTTCCTGTTTCCGTTTGAATGCCGACAGCAGCTGTTTTACTGCACTGCAATGGATAGAGACAGGGCCCTTAGCAAACTACAGGTATATATCTACTTTGTTGTACTGCTGGTGTGTTGAGGGTTTTAACAGGCCGTTTGTATTTACAATGGCTTCTTTCTTCCACAGGAGACATTACCAGAGCTTATGAATACCGACGCATCGGATCGTGTAGCACCGAGATTTGACAGAAAAAAGGTGAATTTTACAAGCCAAAGGGAATAGTGTGGGTGTAAATTCCTGTGAAGCCAGTGGTTGATTAATCCAACTCTTTATCTGCTTATCAAAGGTAGTCAATCGAAAACGATGTACTGCAGAAAGATTGAATAAGAACTGAAAAGTAAAAATGGAACCTTTAAACTACTTTTTGCTTGAGCTGTAGAAAATGAATTTGGTGTCAATTGATGTCAAACTATTTTGATTAAGTATTAATTTGTCCAGATTTATGGCCAGAATTCCAAGACAAAGAAAACATAAGTCAAACTAATTTGAAATCAGTTTGAATTAAATTGATTTTAAACTGCAGGTTATATATTCTGTGCGCATATTTGTGTGATGATGAATGTGATTGTGTTGTGAATGACAGCAGTTTTCTCTGTTGTACTCTTGTAGCACACTGTTTCTCGTGTGGGGTTGTTAGATCAGGCAGAGAAGCTCATAGGTGATCTTGGCAGCTCCCAGTCTGTACTGGAAATACAATATGAGGGCGAGGTAAGTAAGAATTCTCGTCTCCGTGCACTGCATTTGTTATTAATTAGAGATAATAATTGTTCCATTTGCGTAACTTTCATGGCTAGCGGTTGTGGAGTGAGTTCCATATTGAGCTTGCAACAAGTGCACTGACATTACAAGCTGGAACATCCAATGTCCCCGTTATTGTTGGACAATGTAACCCCGGGGGGGGGGTACTTTGGGAATTTCTGGGTGGGGATGTGCCGCTGGGACTCTGGAACCCTTAGCCTATACCAGAGCTAGTTCAGCTGAATTTTGCTACCCTATACTAGAGTAAACTCCCCAAATCCCCCCATCTATCGACACTGTTGAGGCTGATTTGCGTAAATTTAAACTTGCCGATTTGATTTTTTTTATATTTTTAAGTGGCAATTCCTGGTTTCCTTAGTCTAGATAAAATCTTCAACCAACTAGTCAGTTTTGTGAAAAGTTATACCCCATTCTAGACCCAAACGCTCTGATTTATATACCCTATCCTGGAGTAAACTGCTTGAAAAACATACCCTTCACAGCGGCACATACCTATATAGCCCATATATGGCAGTGCCCCCCTCCCGGGAATGTAACCTCAAATGTCTGAAGGTTTATTAGGATTTAAGTAAATCCAGACTAGGGAGCATCTCTTCGATTTCACTGAGCGTTAATTGTCGTTTATAGGTTGGGACTGGTCTTGGCCCTACTCTGGAGTTTTATGCTCTGATTTCACAAGAATTTCAACGTGCAGACCTGGAGATGTGGAGAGGAGAACGTATGCTGCCTCCTGGAAGAACAGGTAATGTTTCTTTCCAAACTGTTCAGTCGGTCGAGGAGTCAATTTAAGCGATGGGTCTAGAACAATTCAACCACTAGCCGCCAGGATCACTTGGTACTTAACCTTTATATAAGATTTGAGAGTATTTATGTTCTGGATGATGAAAACACTAGCAAATGGCTGGAGCAAAGAAAACTTCTTTTTGATAAAATTTCTTTTTTTATTTTGCAGGGTTTGGAGATGACGTTTCTTATGTTTACTCCCCATCTGGCCTTTATCCAGGTAAACTGACATATTCTTAGCACAAAATAAATATTACACAAGTATGGAATTGTGGTTTTGCAGAATAAAGCTAGATATTTATTCTGCCGCTAGCTGGAACATGACACATGTGTGATTGCACGTCTGAATTGAGTCTTCCATTGAGTTTGTGCTCTGTTCTTTTGAGGGATGGAAAAGGGGAACGGTCGGGTAGGAGCTTTCGTAAGGTCTCGCTTGAATGGCTTCAGACCCTTTGCGAGGACACTAGAACAAACAACAGAAACAATGCCCCTAGCCTTGAAACAATAACAGCTGCTAACAATGAAAAACAATTACTAGCTTACGAGAGCTGCTACACTTCTGAGGAGGAATAGCATTTGCTTCGTTTTCCTCTATTTTTGTTCCTTGAACTAATTGTTTTCATTATTTTCTCAGCCCCAATGTCACGCATCGCTAAAGTGGCGAGCGTGACCAAGCTGTGCTCCAAGTTTCAGTTCCTTGGCAAATTTCTGGCCCGTGCCATAATGGACTTTAGAATCCTAGACATCCCTTTCTGCCAGATACTGTACAAATGGCTGCTGAATCAAGAAGGAACCTTAGACTTGGGTGACCTGGCTGCTGTGGACTCGGTGCTGGCGCAGTCGCTGACTCAGCTGCAGCAGGTGGTACAAAAGAAGAGGCAGCTCGAGCAGGACTCCTCTCATACAGCGGACAGTCGACAACTTGCCGTGGAGAGTCTAACACTGGATGGAACACCCATTGAGGATCTTGGGCTTTCGTTTGCTTTGCCTGGCCATCCAGATATTGAACTTAAGGTACAAACGTTTAATAACAAAACCCGTGACTAGTGTTTGCAATTATTTCCTTTGTATCTTTACTTTCGTGCTTTATTTTATCCTTTATTTAGAGGCTGTCTTAAGTTTTAGTGTGTTTTTTATGTCTCAGGATTTTTTTTAACACTGCTCCTAGCGCTGACAGAGTCCTTTCTGTAAATATTCATGTAATATGCTAGTGTGATGGGAATAATATTGTTTGCGAATTCTGTTCAACGTGGAAGAGAACCCTCAAGTGCTGCGTGGCTGGGATAATAATTATTAGTATCACCCAACTAGTGGACTAATGCAAATCCTGCATTTTGATTGACTACGCTACTAGAGGA